TATTCTGGTACTCTGGTATTCTGGTATTCTGGTACTCTGGTATTCTGGTACTCTGGTATTCTGGTATTCTGGTACTCTGGTATTCTGGTACTCTGGTATTCTGGTACTCTGGTATTATGGTATTCTGGTATTCTGGTACTCTGGTATTCTGGTACTCTGGTATTCTGGTACTCTGGTACTCTGGTATTCTGGTACTCTGGTATTCTGGTATTCTGGTACTCTGGTATTCTGGTACTCTGGTACTCTGGTATTCTGGTATTCTGGTACTCTGGTATTCTGGTATTCTGGTACTCTGGTATTCTGGTACTCTGGTATTCTGGTACTCTGGTATTCTGGTATTCTGGTACTCTGGTATTCTGGTACTCTGGTACTCTGGTATTCTGGTACTCTGGTATTCTGGTATTCTGGTATTCTGGTATTATGGTACTCTGGTACTCTGGTATTCTGGTACTCTGGTATTCTGGTACTCTGGTATTCTGGTATTCTGGTACTCTGGTACTCTGGTATTCTGGTACTCTGGTACTCTGGTATTCTGGTATTCTGGTATTCTGGTACTCTGGTATTCTGGTACTCTGGTACTCTGGTATTCTGGTACTCTGGTATTCTGGTATTCTGGTATTCTGGTACTCTGGTATTCTGGTATTCTGGTACTCTGGTACTCTGGTACTCTGGTATTCTGGTATTCTGGTACTCTGGTATTCTGGTATTCTGGTATTCTGGTACTCTGGTATTCTGGTATTCTGGTACTCTGGTATTCTGGTACTCTGGTATTCTGGTATTCTGGTACTCTGGTATTCTGGTACTCTGGTATTCTGGTACTCTGGTATTCTGGTATTCTGGTATTCTGGTACTCTGGTATTCTGGTACTCTGGTACTCTGGTACTCTGGTACTCTGGTATTCTGGTACTCTGGTATTCTGGTATTCTGGTATTCTGCTACTCTGGTATTCTGGTACTCTGGTATTCTGGTATTCTGGTACTCTGGTATTCTGGTACTCTGGTATTCTGGTACTCTGGTATTCTGGTACTCTGGTATTCTGGTATTCTGGTACTCTGGTATTCTGGTACTCTGGTACTCTGGTACTCTGGTATTCTGGTACTCTGGTATTCTGGTATTCTGGTATTCTGGTACTCTGGTATTCTGGTACTCTGGTATTCTGGTATTCTGGTACTCTGGTATTCTGGTACTCTGGTATTCTGGTACTCTGGTATTCTGGTATTCTGGTATTCTGGTACTCTGGTATTCTGGTACTCTGGTATTCTGGTACTCTGGTACTCTGGTATTCTGGTACTCTGGTCTTCTGGTATTCTGGTACTCTGGTACTCTGGTACTCTGGTATTCTGGTATTCTGGTATTCTGGTATTCTGGTATTCTGGTATTCTGGTACTCTGGTATTCTGGTACTCTGGTATTCTGGTACTCTGGTATTCTGGTATTCTGGTACTCTGGTATTCTGGTACTCTGGTATTCTGGTACTCTGGTATTCTGGTATTCTGGTATTCTGGTATTCTGGTACATTTACAACGCTGAAGTCTGGGTTTATTAAAGCAGCATGCTGGTGAAGAGCGAGTGCATCTGGCACATCTCACTGTTAGGCAGAGTGAAACTTCACAGGGCTGTAAAACACTCCTTCAATTATGTTCCTGTCAGGCTGCTCTGAGGTCTGTTTATTGTGCTTTCAGAAACTCCAGAGACAAATTTCCTCCAGACTGCATTTATCTTAGCCTTTTCTTCCTTTCTTCTCCTAAATAAAGAATTTACAGCTTAAAGAGTGTCTTTAATGATGAAAAAGGAAAGACCTGAAGGCTTTGCTTGTTTACATCACCAGGAGTGGAGGCAGAAAAGAGGAAAAGAAGAAAGGGACAATGGAAGATTAATTCAGTCCTACAGTTGGAGCTGGAGGGTTTGCTCTGTGGAGCGGAGCGCTTTGTGGGCCAGTTGGCTCAGATCTAAACAGCAAAACAGAGCCGTTGGCATGACGACAGAAGAAAACGTTCCTTCTACTTGAACCCTGTTCTGCCATGAAGACGATGGAAGTCTCACACTTTCTTTTCTTATTCACAACGTTGCAGAAAACGTTTATTTTTTGCGGTCGCAGCATTCAGCTGAAGCCACAAAGTCTGGAAGGCTTTTAGTCTTTGGTTCATCCAAATCCTGAAGTGGATCATGAATCAGATGGAAATGACACAAGAGGTCCTTTTCATGCACAGAAAAACAAGGAGCAAATGTTTTTGCGAGGGCTAGAAGCCAATCTGATGTGTTGAACTGGATTAATGGTACTCTGGAAGAATGGTGGAAGTTAGTCAGTGCTTTTAATGGTTGCAAGAAAACAACTGCAGAGACATGAGTTGCATCTACTTTTGTTTCTTCTTTTATTTCCTCAAAATCTCCAACAAGAGCTGAGACACAAGAAGGTGTCAGAAGCACGCGATGACAGGCCTTTGAAGCTGTTCCTGCTGAGCATGGAGGGCAGAGAGGAAGAAGCTGTGAGGATATTCAGTGAGTTTCCTTTTTGCTGGAGCAGACGGGCGGGCAGGGTGCTTCTGCCTGACGCTCCCAGAACAAAGCCAAAAAAGGAATCAAACTGCCGCGGAGCGGAGCGCTGCGAGCCGTCGTCAGCTGCCAAACCATTCCTGAAAAAGAACTCTTTTGGTGGAGGCTTGAGACGGAGACCTGTGGGGAGTGTAAAGGAAAATGCACACAGAGGCAGACATGTTGAACTGATTGTCGGGGAGGAGTACTCCACGTGGGGACAAGCTGGAGAGGCTGCTCGGATTAGAAACCGTCTGTTCTGGAAGTGAGAATAAAATCAAAATGACCGTCTAAAACAGATTAATGGTCTTGTTGCTGCTGGCAACAGAACCTGGAGGCGGGTTGAAACGGGGTCCGCTCTGACATATAAAAGATTGCTGAAGCGCCTCACTGATTACTCAACATCTGGAAAAGATTTGGGTTTGTGAACTTGGTGGACTGCAGACCAGCGTGCACCGCTGGGATGTACAGTATAATGTGAACAGTGAAGATCTCAGCAGTCTATAAGACAACACACACCGCTGTAGACTCATCCAGATTTATAGCTTTCCATGAAAACCCACATCTTCACTTGTATCCTGTGGTTTCCACTGACATCCTTTTCTAAAGAGTCCACATTACACACATTTTACTAGTTCAGAATTTCATTTTAGATGGTCTTTTAAAAGGTTTTTGTGCTTTAATGTTCAAAATAATGTTGATTTGAGTCGGGCTGCAGGGTTTTTTTTAGCTCAAGACTCATTTTCCTTTTAGACAGACCCGTTCTGCTCCTACTAGTCAGATGAATACTAAAGTGTCAGAGCAGGTTGGGAAATTCGTTTACAACTACCACGGATGTATGCAGACCAGAAAAATCTACAGTAGAGTAGTGAAAGATGGTTTTTCATGGGAGACTAGAGTCTGGCCGTGGATTTCAGAGGTTTACAGAACATTTATATGAACACGAATGCAACAGAGTAGACCGGAAGAAGGAAACACGCGCCAGCCTTTCAGCTCACTCTGTGACTAAATCCAAAATTCATCATCATGACCCGTTTCTTACAAAAGACACGCCGACGATTCAGATTTGTTTACGTTGTGAAGGACCCACACCTCAACGCGTGAATCATTCTTTTATGCTTCATAGCTGCAACGCTCTGATAAAACATTTGTTCCCTTTTACATTTATCATGTATTTTCTTTTAAAATGTCAGTAAATTTCAGTGCCAAAGATAAACTGACTAAACACAAGATGCTGGTTTCAGTTGATTTCTTCCATTAAAGGCTGAATGAGGAACAATTCGACAAAAAGCTATAATCTAAAAAAACGATGCCTTTACGGGCGTTTAGGGGTGGGCAGGATGATGGTACAGTGTTGTTGTGATGGGCACGACGCCGGGTTTATGTTTACATCTACCAGCCAGTAGAGGGCACCATTGCGTTAAAAAGTCTGCTTGGCACAGCAAGGCCGGCACTGGGGAACGGCAGACTCGGCAGGCTTTGACATTAAATAATGTTATAAAACAAACTTATTGGTAGAAATGAGTTCTCACCCTGTACGCTTCATCACCGGACCCGGTGCTGGCTGGTCACTTCCTGGGTTGGCAGTGAACCTGACGTCCCCGCGGTTGGAAACCTTGTGCAACTACAACCTCCACACACTAGATGCTGCTCTGGTGTTTGGTTCCTCGTTTAACCTTTAAGGAGGAATATCTACTCAAACCAGCCAGGTTCTATGTGAAAACGTAATGGACCCCTACGTTTAATAATCAGTCGTGGCACCCTCGGAGGATACAACCGCTAGCGGACGACAGTAGCATGCTGATGAGTCTCGTATGTGGAAGAAATGTGTCCCGTGTTTCATCTCAGCCCCACTGGAGGGTTTGACTTGTTCTCTCACAACGTGATGCAGGCTTTTGTGGGTTCTGTTAGCTAGCAGAAGTTATGCTCCCCTGTCTCTGTTAAACCGTGACCTTTGACCTTAACCCTAACCAATCCAGGCCTGCAGCACCTTAGATGTTCTGGGGTCTTTTGGGCGTGAATTTCTGTAAGAAGAAACAAGTCATGACGTGTTGGTTTTTGAGGTGGTTTAGCCTGTTTAGCTTCTCTTGGAGCGGTTTTCATCTTTAGTCCCGGCTGCCTGGCTGTGACTGCAGCGCTGACCTTTAAGGGGCAAATGCGGCCTGCAGCCTGTTTGATCTGCTGTCAGCAGCTTCTGAACATGTTTCTGTTAAAAGCTGGATGCTGATAAACTATCAGCCCAGGCTGCTGGTTTCCTCCCAGCAAGCCTCTGGCCTGATGGGTTTTCACCTTCAAAGTGGAGAAAAAACAGTTTGCTGCTGTTAGCGGATCCCAGTCAGACCACCGGAGCTCAGCGATGCTCGGTTTGGTTTGACCCAGCCCCTCCCTGTCTAATATTAATCTGTAAGGATTGATTGATTTTTTGTTGTCAGGTCGGATGTTCTGATCCGTGCCTCCTCTTCCTCACAG